GGTTGGTGCGAATCTGCAACAGTTTCCGATGATTCAATGAAGACCGCCATTTTCTTCATTTCCCTTTTTCTCCAAATAATACGAGATTCCTGATTGGATATATCGAATGGTGACGTATGGTCTGCAAAGAGAAGTTATTAGTCTCTAATGATGATAAAATGGAATTGTCCAACCAACGGTTAGATGTGAATAATCATTTACCTTTGCTAAAGATTAAAATTATTAAACTTAGTATAGCGCTCATTACTGCTCTGACATGAGCATTCAATGGCGCTCTACAAAAACAAATATTTCTACATCATAGCCAAGGTTTATACACACACACACACCCACTCTCACCCTCACACACACACACACTCTCACCCTCACACACACACACCCTCTCCCTCACACACACACACCCTCTCACCCTCACACACACGCCTCGCTGTAGTGCTGGCATATTTTATTAGACCCAGGATCAATTTAGCAGCCATATTATGCACTCGATGTAGTGGCTGAATGATCATTCGAGGCAGATTGGTAGAGACTATTGCAATAGTCTTAATGTTAAAATACCAAGGCGTTGACTAGCTTTAAACACGTTGATCTGTTGATGAATGTTTTTATTGCGTGGCAAATTAGATTTGTCACGCTTTGTTTTCATTATGATTATTTTTTTTTTATTTTTTTTTTTTGGGAACGTCCCTAGACAAAATCGAAAATGGTATAGCATAATTGTCTTCACCAAACATTTTTAAATGACCTGGAATCAAAAATGAATATCTAAAACTCAATTTCTGCTAAACCGGAAGTGTGCCATTGCATAATGTGCAAATATTTTGCATCAAATCTGTAGGGCTTATTTATGAACCGATTTACCTGAAATTTTCTTTAATATGTGCATTGTTATAAGACGTATCTGGCGAGGCTAAAATAAATTCAAAAAATATTTTTGTCAAAAAAAATGGAATCCAAAATTTTCAAAAAAGCTCAAAATTTCTAACTCAGCCGCTAATTATCCGATTGATCTGAAATTCACAGGACATATACAGAATGTCCATACAAATAAATTTATACAATCAAAATTTTTATATCACTTCCGGTTTTTGTGTGATCACTTCCGGCTTTGCGTGAGAACTTCCGGTTTGTTTAAATCACGCCTGGCATCCCTACTTCCAGTATAAATTTCAGATGTTGGCAAAAACCATATATATTGTCTGTCAGTCATAATTAGAATGCACTTAGCAGAAAAAATCCAAACCGGAAGTGATGCATAAGCCGTCGCCTCGGACTGACCCATTTTGGCAAAAAATTAATTAGTCCTCCATTTTTTATCCGATTTTTATGATTTTGGTGTCTATTAAAACCTTGTAACCTTGTCTACAGTTTGATGGAAACGAATTTTGAATTTCGAATAGGAATTTTTTTTATATTCGTTTGAATTTTTTGAAAATTCAAAAGGCCACACCATGTGACCTTGACCTTCGATGACCTTGAAAATTTCACTGTAGGCTGTTCTTGACCTCAGCTATCCACAGATGTACTCATATTGGTTGAAAAATATTAACTTCCGGTTTAATAGCCATTCAAAAATTAACATTTTTAACAACTTTGGACGGCTGTATGACCTTTTCTAATAAACACAGAAAATTATTTTTTTCAATTTTGTAATTCCCTTTTGATTATCTTTTCAATGATATATGACAATAATCCATTAAAATATGTTTTTAAAATATTGGGTTTTTTCGACTGAGGGTTCTAACTTACAATATAATTAACTCCTAGCAATATGGTTTGTATATTCAAGATCTACTCAATTTTCTCTTTTCAACGATATGTGACATGGGTGGTTTAATACAAAATTGAATTTGTGAAAATAGGCATAAAAGTGTTAAATTTTATAAAAAATGTGATAAAAATCTGTAGATTGTGGGGATTAAAATGATTGACAGGTGTTATAACAGGTTATATAATATGATAGGAAAGCTATCCATATGAACTTTTGACATGCAGGTGTGAAGTAGTTTGGATCATAAACAGATTAATCTGATTATGTAATCTTTTAACACTTAAAAAAATAACTTTTTTATTTCAATTTTCACTTACAATAATTTAACATACACTCATATAGAGTAGTGAATTTTTGATACATGAACCTGTTCGAATTTTTTCTGTACCATTAATAGAACTCTATCTGCAAGATACACACAACAGTTTTGGTTA